TGGAAAACTTAGGAAAGTTAAAAGTGGGAGAGAGAATCAACGGAAAGGTAGTTAATGGCAGGAAGGGGAAGGAAGGGGAGAGGAGGGGAAGGAAGGGGAGGGGAGGAATGGAGACAGAAGCTGCAAATAAACACGTAGAAAAGAGGAGACGAATGGAAAGGGGGAGAAAGGTAAAAATCCCGAGAGAGAGATTGGAAATAAGTGGAGGCACCAGTGTAGAAGTGGAGGATAGTGGAGTGAGGGAAATGATTACAGGGAGGAGTGAAGGAGAGTGGAGTGAGGGAAAAATATGGAGGAAGGAGTGGAGTGTGGTGTGGAGGAGAGTAGAAGGAGGAGTGGAAGAAAGTGAAGGAAGGCGTGGAGGAGAAGTGGATTGAGGGAAACATATGGAAGAAGGAATGGAGTAAGGAATGGAGGGAGAAGTTGAGAGAAGTCGGTGGGAGTGGAGAAAAGTGGAGTGAGGAGTGGAGAAGAGTGGAGGAAAGTGAAGTGAAAGTGGATCCTATACTCCTGACGTGCCTTTGTTTTGGTTAGTGTGGCTGCCCAAACACTGACTACCATACCCACCGTAACTCAGATACACAGTGTGGCCGGGCATTACACTCTACCACCAACTCCCCATCATATAAAGTTAGACACCCATTCACAGGTGGATTAAATGGACCTCCTAACTACACATGTTATTAAGGGTGAAACTTCAATGTAAACTGTTAATCACTCCCTCTAGTGACGACACAAATCCAGGCGGCAGTTTTGGAAATAGTTTGGGCAGACTTTTTTTAAACTTTTTTTTTGTTCAAGTATTTATCAATTTTATGGAAACTGCTAACAATAACACTGAAATTAAATGGGACTGGAGTGAACGTTTAAGGGTTATATTTCTTTGGAGTCAAAATTGGTTCTGAAATCTGATCAAAGTTGAAGACAATGACTCACGAGAGAAGCGTCACAGACAGACAGACAGACAGACAGACAGACAGACAGACAGACAGACAGACAGACAGACAGACAGACGGACGAAGCCCTCTGTACCATCCCACCGTTTTGTTAGTGGAGTAAAAATGGAAGGAACAGTATATAAAAGGAGGGAACAGTATATAAAAGGAGGGAACAGTATATAAAAGGAGGGAACAGTATATAAAAGGAGAACAGTATATAAAAAGGAGAACAGTATATAAAAGGAGGGAACAGTATATAAAAAGAGGAGAGCAGTATATAAAAGGAGGAACAGTATATAAAAGGAACAGTATATAAAAGGAGAACAGTATAAAAGGAGAGACAGTATATAAAAAGGAGACAGTATATAAAAGGAGACAGTATATAAAAGGGAAACAGTATATAAAAGGAGGAACAGTATATATAAAAGGAAGACAGTATATAAAAAGGAGGGACAGTATATAAAAGAGGAACAGTATATATATGGAGGACAGTATATAAAAGGAGAGCAGTATATAAAAGGAGGGAACAGTATATAAAGGAGAACAGTATATATATGGAGGAACAGTATAAAAAGGAGGAACAGTATATAAATGGAGGGACAGTATATAAATGGAGGTGAACAGTATATAAAGGAGGAACAGTATATAAAAGGAGGAGCAGTATATAAAAGGAGACAGTATATAAAAAGGAGAACAGTATAAAGGAGAACAGTATATAAAAAGGAGGAACAGTATATAAATGGAGGGAACAGTATATAAAAAGGAGACAGTATATAAATGGAGGGGAACAGTATATAAATGGAGGGAACAGATATAAAAGGAGGGAACAGTATATAAAAGGAGGAACAGTATATAAAAGAGGGAACAGTATATAAAGGAGAGACCAGTATATAAAAGGAGGGAACACAGGAGAGGAGGAAATAAACTGTAGGAAATATATTACGCAGGACAGTAAACTGGGAGAAGGAAGGAGAGTGAATGAAAGGAGGGGCCATAAAGAGAAAGATAAAAGAGGGTCATAAAGAAGAAGACGATTAAAAAGAGAAATTTGACGAAAGAAAGTAATTTATTGAAGAGCGGAACATCGGGGTAATATAAAGTGGAGGAGGAAAGTAGGAGTAAATTGGAGGAAAGTGGAATATACATGGAGGAAAGTGGAGTACATGGAGAGAAGATAGGAAAATAGAGAGAATTGAGTAATGTGGAAAGAGGGAGATGGAAGTAAAGTGTAATAATGGGAAAGTTAAATAAAAGGCATGATGCAGCAGTGAAGGAGTGGTGGTTGAAAATATATCAATAGTGAAACTGTGAAAATTATAGACAAAAACGAATAAACGTAAAATGTGTAAAAAAAAATAGACTTTCTCTTATACATTGTCCACACACACACACACACACACACACACACACACACACACACACACACTTGAGATGACCTATGACCTTAGTGAGGGGACATGAAAAGGTCAGGCAGATTTACAGTAGCTTCGAGTCCAATGGTTGTTGCTGGGTACCAAGAACATACAGACGGAAGGACGGGCATACGTAAAGACAGACAGACAGACGGATGGACGGATAAACGGACAGACAACACAAACATTCTGTCTCAATATACCACACGGGACATAAAACTGGGTCATGCATATAAAATACACAAAGATGGAACAGAGATAGATGAAGGTACATGACAAGACTCTTAAAAACCTAGTGGTAGTGCTGGCAGGGAGAATGGGCTCGGTACAAGTGATGGCATGGTGTTGTCTGGAGTATCGGGAGAACGTTGGCAGGTTGTTTTAGCAGTATTTTGTCAAGACTGTTGGCTGTATGTTGTAAGAGGTATTAACAGGTGTTGGCAGAATACTGGGAGGAGTGTTGTCAAGAGTTAAATGACTGTTCACAAGAGTTGGCAGGAGTGTTGGCATGCATGTTGCTAAGGATGCAGTCATGAAAGTGTGGTGATGTTGGGAGAAAGTGTTGGCAGAAAAGCTAGAGAGAGGATGTGTGGCTGTTGGCAGGCGAGTTACTGATATGAAAGTGTTCATCTGAGGACAAGGTTGGCAGGAGAGGACAAAGAGCTGACAGAGGACAAAGCTGGCAGAAGAGGACAAAGCTGATAGGAGGGAACGAAGCTGACGGGGAGAAGACAAAGCTGGCAGGAGTGGACAAAGCTGACAGAAGAGGACAAAGCTGGCAGAGAGGACAAAGCTGACAGGAGCGGACAAAGCTGGCAGTAGCGGACAAAGCTGGCAGGAGAGGAACAAAGATGGCAGAAGAGGACAAAGCTGACAGGAGAGGACAAACTGGCAGGAGAGGACAAAGCTGACAGGATAGGACAAAGCTGGCAGAAGAAACGCTCTCAGGATTGACTGGCAAGAAAACCTCACGTCAGAGAGTCGACTTGAGACGTGCCTGCAGAGTAGGTGTTGAGGGGGGGGTAGGTTTGGAAAAAGTGTTGAAGGGGTAGTGTTGGCAGGGGAGGCGGTGGTGGGAAAGGTGGCAAGGGGTAGTGTTGGCAGGGGAAGCAGGTAAGGGGGGTGGATGGCAGGGGAAAAGTGTTGGTAAGGGGTAGTGTTGGTAAGGGTAGTGTTGGCGGAAGTGGTAAGGGGTGGGTGGCAGCAGGGGAAAAGTGTGGTGGGTAGTTGGCGGGAGGCGGTAGGGGGGAAAGGTAAGGGAGTAGTGTTGGCTGGGGAAGCGGTGGTAAGGGGGGTGGATGGCAGGGGAAGTATGTAGGGGTAGTGGGCAGAGGATTGATAGGAGTGGGGGAACACGCCAAGAGGGGGGAACATAACAAGGGGAAGAAACACAACAAGGGGGAGGGAAACAGCAAGAGGAGGGACAAGGGAGGGGAGGAACACAACAAGGGGGAAGAACAGGAAGGGAACAGGGGGAGGGACACAACGGGAAGGTGGAGGGAACTGCAATATGAGGGGTGATACACTCACAAATCCTGGGAGAATAGGAGGGGTGAGGGAGGAGGGGTGAGGGAGGAGGGGTGAGGGGTGAGGGCGAGGGGTAAGGGTGAGGGCACGACACCCAACCTTGTAATACATCAATATTTTTATCCCCTGCCCTGGTTCAGCTGTCAACACCCTGCCGGAGTTGCTCTACCCTCCTACACCACCAGTTGAAAATGTTCCATGCTTTAGTGGAGAGTTGTGTATGTATGTATGTATGTATGTATGTATGTATGTATGTATGTATGTATGTATGTATGTATGTATGTATGTATGTATGTTTGTATGTATGTATGTAGATGCCTGTGGTGTAATGGTCAGCATGCTTGCCTCGCAAGCTAGCGGACCCGGGGTCGATCCCTGGGCAGGGTGAAACTATGGGCAAGTTTCTTTACGCCATTTGCCTCTGTCTACCCAGCAGTAATTGGGAACCTGGATGTTAATCGATTTGCGGATCGTGTTCCGGGGTAATGGTTTGCCAGTGCAGTTGGCGAGTTGTCCGGTCTTATCGGACTATTCCTTGACACTGGGTCATGCAACTCGTTAACTTAGGGTGTGGTTGTTGTGTTGGCGACAACTTCTACACCTTAAACAAATTCACACCTAGGTGGCCCTTGGGCCGGCCATCCTCGTTACACGAGGGGCGACCATATATGCATGAAGGTGTGTGTGTGTGTGTGTCTTGCTTCAGCTACGTCTCCATTACCGTAAGCTACAGACGGACACCTAGACTATAGAAAAGGGTTAAATAAGCACAATCAGCTGAAGATAAGATAAATAAAGAAATCGGAGAATACTGAGAGCAAAAAGCATCATTATTACAGGAAACTCCCTAGACTATCTGACACTAGTTCATTCTGGCATCAAAACAGAGTTAACCCTTACGAATTTTTCTCTTACACTCGCACAGTAAGAATAAGAGCGCCAATGCAGGCAGAAGGCGAGCTAACAGTCGTCCATCTAGGCTTCTGTGAGTTTGCAGGGTGGAGGAAGATATCAAGAGTCGACGTTGATTGCTCGTGCTGGCAATGTTTTCACAGTACTGTCCTAGCTAGATGAATTCCCTTCCCCTAGGCAGCTCTTTTCACCCACCTCCTCTCTCTTGCAGGTACAGCGTGGACGTGGTAGAAGGGGAGGGCGTGAAGGGCGGGACCAACACGGTGCGGGCGGAGGTGAGGGTGAGTAACGTGGCGCCTCAGGACTCGGCCGTGATCGCCTGCACCGCCACCAACACCTACGGCAGTCACACCCACCACATGGAGCTCAAGGTCCAGGGTACGTCAACACCTGGACCACTAATTAATAACCTGCCTCACCTTTACCACTAATAACACGACACAGATACATACATGATATTCCCATTACACAAACATATCTGGTCAAGTGATTACACTCTTTCTCTCTCTCTCTCTCTCAAAAATCTTCCCAAAACAATCAACATTAAACACGTAAAGAATAAATGACACACAATGCAAAAATTATCATACTTTTCACCTCGCTCCCGAACACCACCTTCCTGTGACGCTGATGGCGACCTTCCTCTCTCTCTCCTCCTACAGACGTGCCGGAAGCTCCTCGTGACCTGCGCGTGTCTCGGGAGGCCAGCAGGTCAGCTACGGTGACATGGGCTGCGCCTCCTTCACCCAACACCCCCATTACCCACTACATCCTACACCTCAAGTCCCAAACTGGTCAGTATGAAACGATAGATAGATAGATAGAACAAAACTTAGGTCTGATTTTACTATGATATTTTCTCTCTCTCTCTCTTTCTTACCATCTTTATCACAAATTCCTCTCCACCTCTTTCGCAATCCTCATCATCCTTTCAATATTTTCTACAAATATATTTTCCTAAGTCTGGTTATTCTTGTCACACGCGTCTACCATTCTATTACAGTGATTATCTTTTATATAATACAGCACCCCATCATCCGTCTCTCTATCACCTTTCATCATCCTTCTTACTATCATCCGGCTCACACAGCACTATCATCCTCCTTCTCACAAAGAACATAAGAATGGAGGAAACTGCAGCGGGCCTATTGGCCCATACTGGGCAGTCCCGTTTACACCCAACCCCTATTGCTCATATAAGCATCCAATCTATGTTTGAAGCTATTCAGCGTATTCGAGTTAATGATGATATTTGGTAACTTGTTCCATTCAGCCACTACTCTGTTTCCAAACCAGTGTTTACCTATTTCACGCCTAAATCTAAATTTGTCTAATTTAAAACCATTGTTACGAGTTCGCTCCTGGTTGGATAGTTTGAGTACCTTTGTAATGTCCCCTTTGTTTTAGCCCTGCCTTCCTTATACACCTCTATCAGGTCGCCTCGCTCTACGTCTCTCGAGGGAGTGCAAATTAAGATGCTTTAACCTGTCTCTATACTCAAGGTTCCTAATGCCCGGGATTAGTCTTGTCATTCTCCTCTGAATTCTTTCCAAGGATTCTATATCCATTCTGTAATACGGTGAACTGAACTGCGTAATCAGGTGTGGTCTCACAAGAGCAAGATACAGTTTTAGGATGACCTCGCTAGTCTTGTAACTAACACTCCTTTGTATGAACCCAAGTAATTTATTAGCCTTGTTACGAGCAAAAACACATTGTTTACTTGGCTTAAGGTTCCTACTTATCATTACTCCTAAATCTCTCTCGCAGTCGGATTTCTCTATGGCATCGTTGTTCATCTGGTATCTGGTTTCCCTGTTTACATCTCCTATCCTGAGTACTTTACATTTGTCCACGTTGAATTTCATCTGCAACATTAGCTACACATCTCTCTTAAAACACCATTAACTAAAAGCCTCACTTAGCCATCTCTCTCTCTCTCTCTCTCTCTCTCTCTCTCTCTCTCTCTCTCTCTTCACGTAGTCTCCCTCCCCCCACTCTTCTAAACCCTGCTCATCCATCTCTCAATCTCTCGCCTACAGGTCTCTCCACCTACCAAAGAGAGTCTCCCCTCCCTCCTCTTCCGTCCCCACTTCTCCCTTCCCCCCACCTCCTCACATATACATACATACAGTACATACAATAAAGCAAGCTATTTACAAGAACGCAATCACATTTACGAAAACACAAGCGACTACACTCTACATTTACATGAAGAAATAAATAAGTATTTTTAGAGACCTTCCCCCTTACGCCTTGAGAGGATTGAGTGACGCATTACATCAACTTGTCAAGACTTGAACGACGTGATTCTGACACACTCGAACACAACATCCTCCTGATAAGTATAAACAACCACCCAGAATGTGACACAGGGGTAAATAATAAAGAGTGATACTACCTCATTAGGCCAAACAGACGAGCCAACAGGTGAGATGGTCCTAAACCCCGGCATCATTAATATACACACACGTCTTGCAGGCTCTAGTGGGATTGATGGCCGGCAGGTGTAGTGAGACCAACAGGAAACACGACGTCAATTAAATTCACCATAACGATGAAACTATGGCTAAACACCGAGTCATTTAGATAATTAAGACATAAGACTCTGGGTCATTTAGAATATGTACCAAATAACACATTAAACAAAAATTTCGTTTAAGGAACCTCAAGATTCTAAATTATTAACTTGAAATACATTGGACAAACGCAAAACAACACAACACAACACAACGCAACACCCCACAACACAACACCCCACAATGCAACACCCCACAACGCAACACCCCACAACACAACACCCCACAACGCAACACCCCACAACGCAACACCCCACAACGCAACACCCCACAACACAACACCCCACAACACAACACCCCACAACGCAACACCCAACAACACAACACCCCACAACGCAACACCCCAAAACACAACACCCCACAACGCAACACCCCACAACACAACACCCCACAACGCAACACCCCAAAAATCAACACAACAAAACACATTCACGTCTCTCAATAACAAACAGGACACAAAAACCCCACGTTAATCACTACCTTTACCTGGAAATCCCTGGCTCAAACACACTTAGTCATGAGTCACGTTTTATCATTCTATAAAATTCTGTAATGTAATTTTTTTCCACTTTAGTTTCACTCGTCACGATATGAAATTATTCTCACAGCTCCTGCACTAAGAACCTCGACCTGTTCTGCCCAATTTTCTAGTGACCTCTGACCTATCTTTCATTGAGCTTTGACTTATCCTTTTTGTGACCTCTGACCTAACTTCTCTTCGAATTACCTCATTACAGTATAAAACAGCAGTTAGTCTCTCTGACATTTTAATCTGATCTTCCGTCTATGAGAGTAAAGATATTATTCTCTCAGGCGAATCAGCTGATGATTAAACAAACTACGGCTACCTGGGGAGGTTAGGTTAGGTTAGCTTTAGAAGTGTGGCAGTCGAATGAATATACCTGACACTGATGACCTTGCTAACAGTTGTGACCTGCCCTGGTGACCTTACTAGCAGTAGTGACCTCTGACCCTGGTGACCTTACTAATAGTGGTGACTTTTGACTCTGATGACTTTTGACCCTGGAGACCTTACTAACAGTGGTGACATTTGACCCCGGTGATCTATCTGACCCTGGTAACCTAACAGTGGTGACCTTTGACCCTGGTGACCTCTCTGACCAAGGTAACGTAACAGTGGTGACGTTTGACCCTGGTGACCTCTGACCTTGGTGACCTTACTAACAATAAGGACCTCGCCCACAGCCACCTGGGACGGAGTCAGCGTGCGGCAGCTACAGGCGGAGGGCGGCAGCACCTCAGTTGTCCTCAACGACCTTCTACCTGCCAAAGTCTACCAGGTGAGTCAATCTACCAGGTGAGCCAATCTACCCAACCTAACCTAACCTGGGGGTACCTATAAAGTACAAGTAATCTCTTTTCTCACGTATGTCCTCAATTTTAGTACATGAATTAATCCCACTAAGAATAACGCAACAGTAATTGAAATGTAAAAGGGAAATTTGTATTTACAACTACTAATATTTTTTGCCCCTGATTTCCATCCTCTGATACAGAGTCATAGAAAAATAATACCCAGATTTCAAAAGGTTATAAAAATTAAAATCTGGGTATTCTTTTTGACTGACCCTGTACTGCATATACATGATTAATAAAACTCACGTGAATATTTGTTTTTTTAATATATCTGTAAATGTTTAATAACAACAGGCAGCCATTTTCGTTCTATTTTGGTGATCCTATCTTGGTTACTCCTCCCTTTCCCTCTCTCTCCCTTCCCCTCCCTTAGTTAATTTCAAATTCATAACCAGCCTCCTTTCCTCCCCACCACCTCTCCACTACCATCCTCCTCTCCCCTCCCTTCCTCCCTCCCTATTAACTCCCCACTCCCTTCCTCCCCACCACATCTTCTTTTCCCTCCTCCCAACCACCTCTCCCCTCCCCTCTTCCCCATCACTTCTCCACTAACGTCCCCCCCCTTCCTCCCCACCCCCCTCTCACCCCCCTTCCCTTCTCTTACATCTTTCACAATCCACCCCAACTCTCACCCCCTTCCACAGTCTACCACGTGTTCCCCCTTCCCATAATTATCCTTCTAATAATTTTCCACGGTCATTCCTGCTTCCCCCTCCCCACGGTTCATTCCCTGGTTAATTGTAGGGATTCAGTGTGGTCCAGCTTACCCCTGCCTCCCACCACCAGGTTAAGGTGTAATCAGGAAAAAAAAATGTTTGTAAACTTACTCACTCAAAGGAATTATAGTTTTTGGTTAGAATTATATTTTCTATCTTAGCTTACATTTTATTTCTCATCTAATTATATTCCTTAATTAGTATATAAAGTCAAGACAACAATTAATTATTTTTCTATCGTCTTTCACTTTCCAATTAATATTCACTAACCTTTTATTTATATTTTTCATTCCATAAACCGTAAGCCAATTTATCAAGTACTACCTCACTTCTCTATGAGTTGTTATTCAGTGTGATCATAATAATACTGACCAACACACACGAGTCAAAGATCACTCCCCCCCCCACCTCCCAAGATGAGTTTCATGAGTAAAGAGACAGTCAGCCTCTTAATGACCCCATACTACTACTACTACTACTACTACTACTAATACGAATAATAATAATAATAATAATAATAATAATAATAATAATAATAATAATAATTACAGATGATCAGGTGTTCGACAAGCAAAAAACTATTCAAAACCTTTTCGTCAGTTACTATTTTTGTTTTCGCTATTTATATCACAATTCGTACACATACAAATATCATCAGAATGGTAAATAAGTTTCAATTATATTATAACTGTAGATTAAGTGTCTCAAATTACCGCAGAATTAATTAAAACATACACACACACTCATACCTTACACCAAACCCTGATAATTACATATAATAATGAACTTATAACTTATACATAACCAACACACTCACATAATACACACAATGTTAATATCTTGGTCAGTTAAACTTATATCAGTAGTTCGCTCTCTTGACTCTATTACCTGTTATCATTTCTCTAATACGTCCTCCATTATGCTTCCTCTTCAGGTAGCTCCTCACTTCCCCAACTCACTATTCCTTGTACTGTAACTCTGCCCTGCCCGGTCACTCATCTCCTCCCACTACTGCAGGTGCGTGTGGTGGCAGTCAACAGTGTGGGAGAGTCACCGTCCTCAGAGCCCCTCACACTGCGCACGGAGGGTGAAGCCCCCAGTGCCGCCCCTATTAATGTGCAGGCGGTGGGCATCAGTCCTCGCCAGGTGCAGATCTCGTGGTCGGCGCCAGACCCTGACACCTGGAATGGCCAACTCCTGGGCTACTATGTGGGCCACAGGCTGGACGGGTGAGTAAAACACACACACACACACACACACACACACACACACACACACACACACACACACACACACACTCTCTCTCTCTCTCTCTCTCTCTCTCTCTTTCTCTCTCTCCGTCATAAATTCATTGTCTCTCTCCTACAGTTTCAGAAATAATAATAATAAAGTCTTACTCAGTTTACACGTGTCTATTTTAATACGCTGTAAATATAACGAGCCAACCAGAGAACAACACAGCCAATCCATATAAAGTGACATTAAAAAGACAAACAATATGTCCACAATAAGAATAAAAAAAACCCACATTAATATCCGGAATAACAACAAACGTCAACCTTCAACACCAAGCAGGACTTTATATATTTTTTTATCTCTCAAGTATTAAGTTGACGTATTGATCTTGAAATGTGTTTGTGTAAGTAGTAAGTACACGACAATTATAATAATGAGACACAAACAATCATTTTTATCTACGTGTCTTTGGATGTTTGTCTCTATCATCAACATTCTCTTAACATACACAGCTGACCAGATCACACATCTCCACAGGGCGGTGTCTACAGGGAGATCCTTCAGCTTCGACACTGTGGGCGTGATGGGGGCGGGAGAGGAGACTTGGACAGTGGGTGGCCTCGATAGGTTCACTCGTTATATCTTCGTCCTTCAGGCCTACAATGCTAAAGGGCCAGGTCCTCTCTCCACCGAGGTGTCGACCACCACCCTTGAGGACGGTAAGACCCCCAAGCATGAAGGCCAAAATAACATCTTTTTTATGTTAGTGTTTTGAAGATTCAGTCACCAGGATAGAGGAACAATAGTACAAGAGAGAGTGCAATACCTATACTATCTTAATATTACCGTAAATAGAGCAATACTATCTTACTCTTACAATTAATAGAGCAATACTATTTTATTATTATAGTAAATAGAGCAATAAATACTATCTTATAAATACGGGACACAGTAATGAGTGGGAAGGAAGCACCTTAAGATTAGCTTCCCCAGCTTATTTCACCATTAGATTAAACACCCTAACGCTTCCTGGGGAGGGGGAGGGGTGAGCAGGAATCAGAAGGACCAAGCCACTATCGTAGGTTGCAAAGTTTACCTCAAGCCTTAGTAGTTGGGTAAGGAGCTGAAGTGGGGAGAGGGGGGTTAAGCAGCACGGAACAATGGACTTTCATCAGGACTAAGTTGTTAGGAAGTTTGCAAGTATCCCTTGTCACGCAATTTGCTGACTAGTATAGAAAACCAGGACTTTCCTTAACTTTTCAGGGAGGACGTTGGAATACTCGGAAACCTACATTAGGGAAAAATAGTTCAAGTAAAAAAGTAAATAAAATTAATACGATAGTGAGTGGGTATTGGGTCTAAACAAGGGCTTAGAATATATGCATCAACTAACATTATCACCAAATAATTGCCTGTAAATTTAACAAAAGTCTCCCTTAACTTGTCTGGTGCTGACCATCATAGAAAACTAAGAACTTGGTTGAACTTTTCGGGGATGACTATTTTACTTCGAGAGCGACCCCTTCAGTGAATGAAAACTAAAGGTAAATAACAAGAGGTCGTGTGTACGTGTGTGTAAAATAAAATCACAATTGTGGACGGTGTTTCCACGACCTCTTCTATGATAGAGGCTGTGGTATTATTACGTTTCCTAAAACAGCGAAAACGAACCAATTAAACTGAAATTACCCGACCAAACCTTACCTAATTTAGGCACATGATAGGGGTACGGAACACTAATGCGCATGCGTGGTGGGCAGACTATACCTAACTTAAAATGATCTAACCTAACCATTTACAACACAGTCCGTCAATACGGCTGCCGTACCTGTATCCACTTCGAACAATTTAATACATAACAAAATATTTCCTTGATAACGTTTGTACAAAAAAAGCCAAAGTGATGGATCAAGTCAGGCAACATAAATGTCCAAGAATACTCGTAGATGATAACCACAAATTATTACAGCATCTTGGAGACCTCAGCGAGAAAGTACCTCCGTGAATGAATCAAACACTTAAGATAAAAAAATATATATACTTCCTTCCTCACCAACACTACTTCCCCACAGTACCGGAAGCACCGCCCGATGATGTCATCTGCGCCGCCCTCACTTCCACCCGCATCCAGGTTACATGGTCTCCGCCCCCGCCAGCCCTCACCCACGGCCGCATCACCACCTACACTCTCACCTACACCTCCATGGACGACCACACAGGTAAGAGATGTAGTGTTTACCTTTCTCTCACCTCCCCTTCAGACATAGCTACACTCATCTCCCCCAACGAGCAACAAAGAGTACAAGGTGTAGAGGCATGACACAGTGTAATCTTATCTCCCCACACACAACCCCACGAGCGAGCAAACAAACAATTTAGTTAAATAGTTTCTCCTCATTCACTTTCCCTCCTCAGTTGCATATGGATAATGTTTCTCTTCCTATCACCCACACACACAGTCTTTCTGCCTCTCACACAATCACACGCACTCTTTCCCTCAATCGCCCTCACTCACCCACACACACTTTCTAGCTCCCCCATATACAATCACACGCACTCTCTCCCCCACACACGTACACACCCACGCACTCTCTCTCCCACCCACACACTCTTCCTCCCTGTCACACACCTACACTCACGTCACTAACACAATTCAACATTTTCTTTCCATGCACATACAGTACATACAAATCACCCCTGAATTTCTCCATATTATAGTCAAATGGCTGAGTTGAAACGTATCTTACTTCCCAAACCTCGGCTAAAAAGTCACATAAAATAATCTATACAATCTTCACAGTTGCATGATATTTATTTACATATCTATAAAACAAAGACCAAGTTTTATTGATTGATAACTAGATCACCAAGCTCTTCCTATCTCAGATCCCAGGAAGGAGTCAATAATTCACCTTAGGCTGTAGTCTCTCCTTAATACTTAATAATTTGTTAAGATCATCCTCTTTCAATGAGCATTAACCCCATCCCACCCCTTGAGGCTTTAGAATTAGTAAATTAACTCATATTATCCTAGCATTAACCCTTTCCTTAACACCGAAGAATTTGTTATGGTTAATCTCCACCTCCGGGCATTAACCCCAATCCTCTTATGACTCCAGGATTAGATAACCACTCCGTATTAATCCAGCATTAACACCTTCTCAATACCTTAGAATTGATCATTACCCTTTACCATGGAACATTAAACCCACCTCGACATTCCATAAATAACTCCGACTTCTTAGATTTAACGAATAAAGTAACCTAACCTAACCTAACCTAACCTAATTCAACTTAATCCCGACACTAACCACTTTCTGCGCCTCCTACAGGGCTACCGGCGGGGGAATCTCGCATCGTGAACGGACAGAGCGCCACGGTGGGGGACCTTGAGAGATTCACTAACTACTCGGTGACTGTGGCCGCAGCTACCAGCGCCGGCGTGGGTGTCGCTTCCCATCCCGTCAACTGTGCCACTGAGGAGGACGGTGAGTGAAAGGTGTGGAGAGGTTATGGGGAGGGTGGGAGAGGTGGGGAGAGGTTATGGGGAGGGTGGGAGAGGTGGGTAGAGGGTTGGAGACGTGCGGAAAGGATGGTAGAAGTGTGGTGAGGAAAGGAAAAATGTGGAAAGGGTAAGGATAGATGAGGAGAGAGAGAGAAATGAAGAAAGGAGAAGGAAAAACGCCAAAAACAAACAGGCTTGGTAAGAGGGAGGAATAGACAGAAATAATATAACAGGAAACATAAAGGAAAAAGTTAGCAGAATAATAAAACAACAAAATATGAACATGTGAGAACGTAATTAAATAACAAGTGTAAATGATAACAACAACACTAATAAACTGACATGGTATGGAAAAAAAGATACAACCTGGCACTGTCCTTCACCCCAGGCCACAGTGCCACTAGTTCCCGCAAGGCACTACTAAGAATTGAAAAGTATTAACCCATGACTTAGTCCCAACAGATTGCGTACATGAGACTATAGGACGGGAGTACATTGGCAAACCTGAGCCTGGCCGCACTATGTAAACTTTGTAGCCAGCCCGACTCTCATGCCCCCTCTCACTCCATCTTCACTAGCCCTATGACCTCCTCCTACAGATCCCAGCCATCACCAAAACCTCGTCCCTTCCTGGCGCGATATCCCTTCCCCTAGAGACAGGCCTGGCACTTGACATTATTAAGGACCTGCCACGCTTTGCCATAAACAGATGAATTGTATCGGGAATTCCCCCTCCCACACACTCATCCTCCTGTCACTATATGTAGCATGCTGACAAACTCCATGGCCCTTCAGGTACTTGCGTCCTTAATTCATGAGTCAAGAAGGTAAGCATAAACTCCGCATAATTCCCTGTTAGGCGCTGTAAATACTTTTGTGCTTCGCCTTGCACAGGATGAAAGGAGGTGCCCAATAAACTATAAACTAACTCCCTCGCTGAGGAAATCTGAATCTGATTGACATATTGACAGTAACACAACATGGCGTGGACTGGCATAAAATAATAATAATAATAATAATAATAATAATAATAATAATAATAATAATAATAATAATAATAATAATAATAATAATAATAATAATAATAATACATGGCACAGAGACAAACCCGGCACTCAAACATGACCCTCGAGGCATAGTGCCATTAGCCCCAGAAAGGCTTAATACAAGGGAAATAACAAAGATGATGGCGTGAGAAAAAATACATATACTGAGGCTGACACTGCCACTCTCTCCCTACAGTGCCACAAGCGCCCGCGAGGATCAAGGCGGTGGTGAGCGGCCCTCAGAGCGTGATGGTGACGTGGTCGGCCCCTGAACGACCTCATGGCACCATCACCAAGTACATCCTTTACATCCGCGCCCCGCCAGAGAGAGACTCTACCAGGAGGATCTTACTCCCTCAGGTAAGTCGTCTTCCATCATCACCACCACCACCATTATCGTCAATATGATCTCACTGGAACAGCTCAGCTAAGTAATTATAATTAATCCCACTTAAATCCACCTGTGAGTCTTACTAAGTCTTACTGGAGGCAACATTGTCTTAGTTGTTGAAGCCTTTGCTATAATAATAATAATAATGATGATGATGATGATGATGATTATGATGATGATAATGATAATAATAACAACAACAACTAAGACTTCTTATCCCTATAATATATTATATATTGTTAATTACCGGTATGGTTACTGTATACAGTAATCTACAATACTTTACTATAAATCTCCAATAACTATTCAGCAAAATCCCCAATAAACCTCAAGCTTTTCCCTACGATACATGTCCAGTGTATCACCACCTAACACAACCACCCTTCACAGACACGGTGGCTGGAGGTGACGGAGTTGAAGCCGCGTCACCGCTACGAGTTCTGGGTGTCGGCCACTACCAGGGTGGGGGAGGGACCTGCCTCACCTGTCGTGTCCGCCACGCCTTCCCCTACAGGTATACGTCGCACAGGTGTTACACGTGTTTCAGGGTTGTATATAGGTCATCCGAGCTCTACATATATATCACCCAAGGGATAAACAGGTTACTCAAACAATAGTCTTAATGATGGTACTAATGTGTGTGTGTGTGATGTATGTCGACATGTATAGATACTGTCTTATTTATAGGTGAGAATCTATCTTGTACAGCTACTTAAAAGTTCCTTCCCTCATACCACACCTCTGGACCACACAGTTGGCGCGGGCGTGTACGGTGTGGGCGGGGAGGTGAAGGTGCCTCAGGGGACGGACGTGGTGCTTGATTGTCCGCACGTCGGCAAACCTACACCCACCATCACCTGGAGGATGAACAACGCCCCCATCACTAGGGTTTCCAGGTACGGTCAACCTCATCATCGGAGAACATATTTTGAGACGTAACTTTTCTTAACCTAACCAAACCTAAACCTAACTTAACGAGACTTAACCCAATGGAACTCAGCCTAAATTAACCTAATCTTGTAGAGGCTTTAAGAAACTTGATACTGTGGGATTTTAATATACTATTTTATTTTGGTGGTGTGATGCTATCAATGGTATAGTGCCTGTTTTATAACCAACAGAAAAAGGTAATTATGCTTCTCATTGATGTCAGATGACATGTAGCATTAGTGTGCTTTATCATGTGACCATTTAACCATATAAAGGCTTTTAACTCCCCGAAGGAACTACATCATAAGGCTTTGATCTGCCTTTAGAAATCCGCAAACAACTTTTAACGTCTTGAAGTGGCCTCCAAACACCAGAAACTATAGTATAAACAAATTAAATACTCCATATATCCTGTTCCTAATATCCAAGGTTAACCATTATGTGTATCCTACAGGTACGAGCCACAGCCTGACGGAGGACTATTGCTGAGGGACTGTCAGCGCTCAGACTCCGCCAACTACACCTGCCACGCCAACAACCGCCACGGCTCTGACCACGCCCTCTACACCCTCAGTATCATGGGTAAGATAAGGGAGAGACAGTGAGTGTGGGAGGTGGGGGGGATGAAAGGGGTGGGGAGTGTGGGAGGGAGGGAGGGATAGGGAGTGAAAGGAAAATGGAGAGTGAAAGAGGAAGGGGAGGGAGAGTTAGAGAAGGAGAAGAGAAAACCCAAGAATCTGGTTTACTGACGAGAGAGAGAGAGAGGTGTAAGGATGTTTGCCTGTGAGGTATGAACGCATCTACACACAAGTAAACACACAATAACACGCTTCCACATCCAAAAGTATAAGCATACACAGTAGCCTTTGTTTACATTATTAGCTGATCACAGGTACTGACACCCCTCTTCGCCCTTCACCACAACAGTACCCCCCAGCGCGGCGCTCCTCCACTCCATGGGGTCGACACCAACCACAGTAACAGTATCGTGGAGGCCTGTGGACGACGGCGGTGCCCCCATCAGAAAGCTGACCTTAACCTGGCGACCTGACCCCGGGGAGTGGCGTGAGGTGACCCTGGCAAGACACCTGACGCAGTACACCCTGAAGGAGTTAAGCTGTGGCACCGAGTATCACCTGTACCTCACCTCACATAACAGGATAGGTAACTTAGCCAGCCAAATGACTTGTGCTGCCGACCATAATTATTACCTGTATTATCTATTTACAATGTATATGAAGAAAATTACGAATAGTAGTCATGTCGTTCGATATTATACTCGTATATATAGTGTAACATCTTTCATAGTAAAAAAAAATCTTCCTTAGACTGATACTATCAGTATATTATGTTTATTAAGACTTATACTAATGCTTGCTTTCTTGTTCTATTTGACAATGTCGATATAACCTAAAAATGAAGGTGTATCACTTAAAACTTTTCAGTCATTTAAGACATCCGTATAACTTAAACCATCAATCATAAAAGACCTATAATTTAAGCCATCATCCACAAAGAACTAACAATCTCCCCTCGGCAGGTCCAGGAGCGGCCAGCGAGGTGATCACAGTCCGCACCAAGGGAACGAGACCCACCCCGCCGCCCCAGCACCGCCTCGTCTCCGTCAACGTGTCGGCAGTAGCCTTCCACCTGGCCTCATGGGTTGATGTGCAGTGCGCCATCACCCACTATATCGTCAGGCTGAGGCCCACCGCCCAGAGGGAGTGGCAGAGCGGTGAGTATTGAGAGAGGGTGTCAGGGAAGGTGGAATTGTGAAGAAGGGAGGATAGAGTTGAAGGGATGGCCAAGGATAGAGTTGAAGGGATGGCCAAGGATAGAGTTGATGGGATAGTGCCAAAAGAGTTGGTTTTGCTTGACTGATACACCGTACAGTTTCATTAACGTCACCACTACATGTAACTGCCTTTTATAATTAATTACACAATGGTAATTACTCTTATGCCGCCCGTGGATATTATAATCCCATGTAGCTATTACAAGAAACAACTCACAGCGGTCAGTATCTTACAGTTGAACGCCCTGGTGACATCCTGTTAGTTAGACAAATCATCAGTGTGAGATGCAAGAGATGTCCACTGAATATGATGTGACTATAACCAACACTTAAACACATGCCTCATTGGTCGTTTTTACTGGTCAGATCACTAAGCTAGGGAACTTCGTAAAACAAAAATCCATTAACAGATTTTAGCAGGTTTTTATCATTTTTTTTTTAATTTGTGGAAAGAGCGTAGAAGATATAAATAAAAAAAAATCATAGTACACATTTTCTAGTAAAAAATATCCCTTCACATCCGCGGTACTATTGTGGAAATCCAGGACAATCGGTCACCAGGGTTTACGATCGTGTTAGCTGAAGATTATAGTTGTAGATTAGAATTACGAGTTAACTCTGGGATGAGGGGTATTTCACTATGCTATTGTTAAAGACTGCACAGTAATACAGTAGGTAATCCACTTAGCCTAAAACCGCAACAACACTGATCTTTCAGGTGTTAAATGGACATTATTGTTCTCTTATATATCACAAACTCCTGTTAAAAGTGACACAAATTTTGCCTAAAACCATAAATTTTTTGTTTAGCTTTTTCCAAGTTTGACTCTTAAATAAAGAAGTCGCCTATTGTATCGTGAACACCTGAAGAAATCTTATCATCACTGTACTGACCCAAACAATTACACACATTAATATATATTCACCAAAGTTTATGACATGCAACAAAGGCGTAGCGTAACACTTGAAAATCACGACTAAAATCAACCAGGTAGGTTAGGTTGGTTAGAATAACTTAATTAGTTATACGTGGTTGAAAGTACCAATAAAACCTACTTAACCTTACCTAACTTCCTAGCGGGGGGGCTCTATTCTAGGTCATTTGCGAGGGGAACGGTATTATTATTCATTTACGACGGAAGTATATAGAATGAAAGTCATTCAGAATGGTGAGACATATCTATTGTGTGTGTTAAAAATCCCGTATTCAATGGTTATACGAAACTGAAATAATACTATATGCTGTATAATTTTGCTCACCAACTGGGAGGTCATGAGGTGAATCCTGGAGACTATAATTGTCGTTGTACAGTAATAATGTGTTGTAGGCTGTTGTGACACTCATCAGTTTTTGTTTTATTCACTTTTTTACTTTCTACGCAGGAAGTTTTTGTCGTCTTTGCCATTTAATTAGAACAAAAGAGTTATCAGCTAACAAGTAACAAAAGCGCTGTAATGTTAATGTCATACTAATTCACCAAGTACGGCACTTGCTAGTTTGATTTGAAAATGTCCAAAGTATATAATAGTCATTTCTCACAAAATAGTCACGACTACAAACAACACTAAACGAAATCAAACGCCACAGTCATTTTTATCAACAATTCTTAACCACAACATTTCACTAAATCTTTTTATTGGTAAACCATGTTCCAGCACACCAATTATCAACACTGACCCAGCAGCACACGACGGGCTTCTGTGTAATATGACTGACAAAAAATAACTATTGCCAATATTGCAACAGTATGGGAAAGTTGACACAACACCTGCTGATGCTGCAGTCTGGGACGTTGCCAAGTACTCGATTATGTTTCCATGTTAGCACCATCTATTGAGTGAATTATTAACTAGAACTTATCTTGCTGCAACTGTTGGACAATGTGGTAGTTTTGCGACTTTAATTTATTATGAATACAAGGTTAACATATTTTAATCCGTATTTAATTAAGTGGTTGAAAGATAAGTTGTTTATTAGACTTTGTTACATAGTTAAGCCCTCCTTCCCTCTCTCCCTGTACAACATAGTGGCCCCACTCCTCCCCTGTACAACATACTGACCCCCCTCCTCCCCTGTACAACATAGTGACCCCCTCCTTCCCTGTACAACATAGTGACCCCCTCCTCCCCTGTACAACATAGTGACCCCTCCTCCCCTGTACAACATAGTGACCCCCTCCTCCCCTGTACAACATAGTGACCCCTCTCCCCTGTACAACATACTGGCCCCCCTCCTCCTTGTACAACACTGCAGCCCCCTCCTCCCCCTGCTTGCAACATACGGCCCCCTCCTCCCCTGTACAACCTTTTGCCCCCTCTCCTCTGTACAACAGTACCCCCTCCTCCCTGTACAACATAGTGACCCCCTCCTCCTCTGCATACAACATACTGACCCCCTCCTCCCTGTACAACATAGTGACCCCCCTCCTTCCCTGTACAACATAGTGACCCCCTCCTCCCCTGTACAACATAGCTGACCCCCTCCTCCCTGTGCAACATAGTGACCCCTCTCCCTGCCCTGAAGTGACCCCTCCTCCCCTGTACAACATAGTGACCCCCTCCTCCCCTCAGCCACAGCATGCAGCCCCCTCCTCCCCTGCCCACAACATGCACAGCCCCCTCCTTCCCTAGCCTGTATAGTGACCCCCTCCTCCCCTGTACAACATAGTGACCCCCCCTCCTCCCCTGTGCAACGCCAGCCCCCTCCTCCCCTAGCACAACATACTGACCCCTCTCCCTGTACAACATGCAGCCCCCTCCCTGCTTTAACCTGCTGACCCCCTCCTCCTCTGCCCACAACATAGTAGCCCCTCCTCCCCTGCTTACAACCTGTGACCCCTCCTCCTCTGCTTTGCTAGTGACCCCTCCTCCTGCCTGCCTGTAGCCCCTCCTCCCTGTACAACACTGGCCCCCCTCCTCCCCTGTACAACCCCTCCTCCCCTGCTTTGCTGCCCTTAGTGGCCCCTCCTCCCCTGTACAACATAGTGACCCCTCCTCCCCTGTACAACATAAACCCCCTCCTCCCTGTACAACCTGTGACCCCCTCCTCCCCTGCCCCAACATGTTGACCCCCTCCTTCCCTGCCCAACATAGTGACCCCCTCCCTCCCCTGTACAACATAGTGACCCCCTCCTCCTCTGTACAACATAGTGACCCCCTCCTCCCCTGTACAATATAGTGACGCTCTTCCTCCTCCCCAGTCAGCGGAAGGCTACCGGGGACTCAGAAGGAGTACACAGTGGGGGAACTGATCCCTGCTACGACTTACGAAGTGAGCCTCACCGCGGCCAACCCCGCCGGCGACACCACCGCCACCTACACCTTCACCACCCTTGGCCTCACTGGTGGTAAGTCTCCCGTTCTTCGGTGTTAAGTTAAGCAATCATAAGGTTATACGACAATACCCCACCAACATTAATCAGATCACGTGAAGATTAGGCACCCTAGCTTATCTCACCTGCTCATTAAACACCTTAACGCTAATCTAACTTAACTTAATAAACCTAATTTAATTTAACCTAACCTGATCCCTAGGCAATATTAGGATATTTAATAGTCTAGTAAAATAAGGTGAGGTGCCTTAACTTGCTGTTTTTTATCCACCACAGTGAGAGGCTGAGGTAGTCACACTAGTTCCCAGAGATATAAGAACTGATCATGATAATAACAGTTGTAAGCTGTATGATGTTGTGTTAGTAGTGGACACATGGCAGCTGTGTTTATGTCATGAAACTAAGGATCCATTCATCTCATTTATCATCACATAAAATACTCATATATTAATAGTATATTATCTTAAACAGCTACCACTCACTTAACTCTAAACGTCCGCATTGTCATTCGTGTGTTGGGTGTTAATATTATTATTTTTAGGGAGTCAAGAACCGCTAGCACCCCCCCCCCCTTCACCAACACAAAAATCCTGTAAGTGATTGGAACTCGATGTTTCTTCAGTTTCATTTAAAATTATTCTGGACAAATAAGCTACTTACCTTTTCTTCTCGACAGATCACCTACAGGAAGGTCTTGGGTCCTTAGGGGGCGGGATGCTGGGATCGTCAGGTGGTGTCGGGGCATCTGCAGAGGACGTGTTTACTGACCCCGCCTTCATCGTCCCTGTCGTCATATCCTGCATCGCCCTCGTCTCTATCATCATTGCCATCACACTCTGCCTCAGAAGAAGTAAGTAGTTAATGGATGTCAGCATAAATGGGAAACATCATTATTTAATTAAGTGACAAGGATGCACATTCCGGGTACACAAAAAGTTGGGTTAGTCTTTTTCGTGTAACCACAAATAATTCATCATCTAAATTGTTTTGATTAGTTTTCTAAAATATCTTGAAAATTACTTAAGTTATACTGATATTCTTGTTGAGTTTCTTCGTTTTCTTCAAATTTAAGGAAACAGAAAACGAATAAATTTAGCGGTAACAACAATATTCGGTAACCACGTAAAACCAAATTGATTTCTCAAGATTCATAGAACGAAAGTAAAAAAAAAAAAGGCTTTAGGAGAACTGGCAACGTCCACTTTAAGACCATCTCAACCCTAACCCAACTATCGATCGCTGTGTCGGCAGATTGTTTGAAACTCTAACCCAACCCCACAGCTCGTTTAGGTCATTGACAGTCTCCACAACCATTGGCAGAGCCGTCGATGCTGGGAAACTCTTATTGTACAAAAAAGAAAAAAAAATCAAGTAGGCACTCACATTACCGTAAACATAACAAATACTTGTTTGTTTACTACAGAGATTAACGAAGCCATAAGCCAGTCTCTCAATCGGAATAAAGTCGCAACGATATTTATAAGGAAATTCAACTCAAAATAAACTATATCTATAGTGTTTAAAAATAAAATCAATATAGTCATCCAAAATTAACTAGAAATTACTGTATATTGGTCATTCTATGCTAATTATTGATACGCCGTAAACTTCGTAAAACGACCAGTGATAAATCACTCTCCACGGCGCGCGTCATAACATGCTAGGAAACAATGCAACCAACCTGTCCTGCCTGGCTGACTAACGCAATATATCTCTGTTCTAGCTTTTAATGTCTTCATCCTACATAGTGGTTTTGTTAGGGTTTTCCTCTCTCTCTCTCTCTCTCTCTCTCTCTCTCTCTCTCTCTCTCTCTCTCTCTCTCTCTCTCTCTCTCTCTCTCTCTCTCAGCTTCAACTGAATTTGCATTTAACTTTTCAGTGTGTTTCTTCGCCTCCATCGGTGGTCATTATAATTCTGAGTAATGCATATTTTATAATATTAATATAAAGATGATATATCTATGTTTCTTAACTCGTGTAAAAGTGATGACATGAAACATTCATATCCATAGCACGTTTAAATTAAACTTGGATCACCATACCTTCACCAGACACCTTAACTTAATAACAATATCTTTAAAAAAGGGCGATAGGTTTATTTCTTTATCACTTAACCTTGTACTACAGTGGGCAAAAAATATTATTTGAAATGAAAAAAAACAACGCTCACAAATTGCCTTTCTGGTTATCGCGTGCAGTTGAAATTACCTGTTTTTGCTGGAGTGTCTCGCCAGTGACCATCGTCTTGGCTGGCCGCCTTGACCTTTTATCACATTTATGTGTACTATACTTGCACTGCTGGTCCACGTCTCCATAAATGGGCAACAGGCGAATACTGCACGACGGTGAGAACCCACAAATTGCCTATGAATGCAATGACATTGCAAAAATCGAGACTTCCAGGTGAAAATATGCCACATGCACTCTGACAACCGCTCCTACATCCTCCACTACTACATAATACTACTACTTAAGCTCAAAGATGCATGAAAAGATAGTTTTAATAATAGCAATAATATTTGAATATAATATACTGTACACGGAGACCAAGTGGCTCTTAAGAAAAAATACTTGCCTGCTGTTCCAATTAAGCATGGCATCACACAACACTCCCACAGGTAATAATAGTTACACTTGTGATTTTCGGTTGAGTTTCGTGAGTCACGTCTGCGGGCGGAGACGGTCCTCTCACCTGAGATTCTGTAATGAACATGTAGACTCACCAAGGGCTCTGTCACGCGACCTGTGTACGGGAATGACTGAGTTGCTTCCATGTGTGTGTGTGTGTGTGTGTGTGTGTGTGTGTGTGTGTGGGTCACATTTTTGTATCTTTCATCCTCTACTTTCCCAGCTCTTTATTTTTCTGAGGCTCCAGCAGACATAAACGCTACTCCCTCTTGCTCTAGGACCTAGTGGTGGCCACGACGGTGCTCCTGGAGGGGAAGACGGGGACCCCTCAGTGACCACAGCCGCGGAAAACAAAAGCAACCTGGCGGCGAGAGAGCAGTACTACGCCACCGTCAGGAAGCCCGCGCCCTCCCCCATACACGACGTCAACGCCCTGGAGAGAATACCAGGTGGGTGTAGGTGTTCAGAGGCGCCCGTGTGTGTGTGTGTGTGTGTGTGTGTGTGTGTGTGTGTGTGTGTGTGTGTGTGTGTGTGTGTGTGTGTGCCACATGAAGGTGACTACCCATATATTTTATAACGTCATATCATATCACATTCATCTACCCTTATCTCTTGTTCATCTACCCTTATATCTTGTTCATCTACCCTTATATCGTGTTCATCTACCCTTATCCCTTGTTCATCTCAGAGACTTGAGTGATCCTGAAAGTAGAAAATCTAGCAAAAAATTCATAACATCTGGCCAGTAATATTTCCTCACGTAACTTAACTCAGTAATTATTTCTGAATTCTTTTGAAATTTGAACAAAATATTAAATTCTTTTAAATAAATGCTGAATACATAATGTTTATTAGGTTCTTGTCTAAACTTAAAAAAATCAATATGTTCTTGTTTAAAAATAATCATAATAATCTTGCTTTAATACCAAATTTCTTTAAAGTTCGTACCTAAACAAGCGATTATCATAATGTTTCTTGATTAAATTTATAATATTCTCATTGTTTACTTGCTTATCCATAATGGGTATAATTTAAATAACGACCATCACTAAACACTACTAATCGTGAATAAATGAAAACGAGAAACCCAAGAAATTAAAAGAAACGATTTACTATATAAGGATAACTCAAGAAAGCCAAAACACCTTTAAAAACGAAGGCCATGGCTGAGACACTATGAACCTAGAGTCGTCTCACCAAACCCCTCTCTTTTAGAATATGCTGAGGACATATACCCTTACGCAACTTTCCAAATCCAGCGGCAGGAAGAGACACTATCTACGCACTTCCAGACTTTCGTGTACCAAGACCCTCGGAGAGCTACTGTGGAGACACTTGCTTATAGGAAGGTGAGTGTACAGTATGTGTGGAGAGCAGTGCTTAACGTTCCTGCACTTTTATTTTACTTGAGTAAATTGTCAATGTAATCACATATAAGTAAATACTGCCATCAGAACTATGTATACAATCTCTTCAGAGTGTGGCCCAACAGGCCTTGGCCATACTTAGTGTCTTGCCAGTTCCACAGGCTCGGTCTCTGGCTCACTAGAGTTCCACCACTTGTTATTTTACAAATTAAGCGCTGGTGGGTGGCTGGGTTATATGTATGTGTGTGTAAGGGGTTGTGTGTGTGTGTGTGTGTGTGTGTGTGTGTGTGTGTGTGTGTGTGTGTGGGTGTGGCGAAATGTGGTGTAATGGTCAGCATGGTCGCCTCGCAAGCGAGTGTACCCGGTTTCGATCCCCGGGTAGGATGAAAGTATGGGCAAGTTTCTTTACGCCATTTGCCTCTGTCTACCCAGCAGTAATTGGGAACCTGGATGTTAATGGCTTTGCGGATCGTGTTCCGAGGTAATGGTCAGGCAGTGCAGTTGGCGAGTTGTCCGGTCTTCTCGGACTATTCCTTGACACTGGGTCATGCAACTCGTTAACTTAGGGTGTGGTTGTTGTGTTGGCGACAGCATCTACACCTTAAACAAATTAACGCCTAGGTGGCCTTTGGGCCGACCATCCTCGTTACACGAGGGGCAACCATTATTATGTGTATGTGAGTAAAGACTTGTTTGCAGTGTTTTGTGTGTTTGTGTGTGTATCAGTGAGTTGACAATTTGACAAGTAATTTAAACAAATAATAATAATAATAGTAATAAATATAAATTAGTTTTAGAATGAAGCTTATGCATCATACATACTAACTGCCCCCCCCCCCCTCTCTCTCTCTCTCTCCATACTCATGTTTCATTCTTTGTCCCCGTAGACCGGAAACGGTAATGGTGGAGGGGACGGCAGAGACGGAAGGACTGGAAGAGGAGGAAGTGGAGGAGTAAGTGGAGGAGGAGGTGGAGGAGGAGGAGGAGTAACAGGAGGTACAACAGTAGTAGGAGGAGGAGGTGGAGGAGGTGTGGGGAGCGCGGTAGAGAGGGACAGTGATGATTACGCCAGGGTGAAGCGGTGTCGTGTCAAGTACGGAGGTGAGAGCGAGGACTACGACGACAGCCTCAACAGCGACACAGACACGGACCACGCCGCCTCCTCCCGCACCGAGAGCTCTTCCCACCTAGATGACCCTCACCACACGCCCATCTCCGCCCGCAACCACCACCACAGTAAGCCTTATACCCACCACACCCCCGTTTTATGACCACCCACACGCCCATCTCCGCCCGCAACCACCACCACAGTAAGCTTTATACCCACCACACCCCCGTTTTATGACCACCCACACGCCCATCTCCGCCCCCAACTCACCACGCCCCGCCCACGCCCACGCCCACAGCTCAAGTTACAGAGTAATTCAGGTGCCTTACATGTGCTCTACGTAATAACATAACTATATTAACTAGTTTAATAAAGTTACATTATTTGATTATGATATTTTTTCACAGTAACATGTCACCGTGTCTGCAAAAGAATATCATTATGCAAATCTTACCGGGAAATATAATTCAGAACTATCAGTAAAAGTAAAATAATTTTGGATCACCTGAAGATTATACACCCAAGCTTATTTCACCTGATGATAAAGCACCCTAACCTAACCAAAGCTAACCTAACGCTAACTAAACCGAACCTAACCTAACTTAATCCAGCCTAACCTCCCAGATAGCGTTAAGGTGGTTAATCCACAGGAGAAATAAGCTTGGTACCTAATTTTCGAGTGGTTTAGATTTCTTTCTAAACCACAAGTACAGTACACTCCACGTCGTAGCTGGATCACAGTATAAGTGAGATGGTCTTAACCCAGACTGAGGGGGGGGCGGGGGTTCACAAGGGTTAGAATCTCTGCTCATTTACAATCTATAAATGGAATCCAACTATTTCATAATAAGCTCGAGCAGTCAGTACATACACACCTAACTTCTATCTCTCCCAAAGGATCATGAGAAGATTAGCCCCCAGATTATTCACTTGATAATTTAACAACCTAATGCTACCTAGAAGGATAGGTTAAGTGTTAGATTAGGTTAAGCGTTAGATTAGGTTAAGCGTTAGGTTAGGTTAGAGTTAGGTTACGTTAACGTTAGGTTAAATTAGTCTTAGGAGGTTTAATCTTAAGCTGAAATAAAACTAGAGTGTTTAATAGTTCTAAAACTGTAAGAATAGGCAGTTGATTGTATTTGTTGCACGTAACCTAACCTAACCAAACCTAACTTAACCTAACCCCAAAAGTATACCTAGATGTTAGTTTCACAGCCCATGATGATTAATCTTAATACATTAGTCAGGTTATTTATGTTTCGTACGAGGTGACAGGAGGATAATTATTGTATTTAGTATTGAGGGACAAGAGAGCTTTTAACAGTCATGGAGACAAAGAGACAGACAAACTGACAGACAGACAGCCAGACGGAGAGAAACTTTAGCTAGCAGCATAGCAGGATAGTGTGTCTCTTCAACTACGTCGAGTACAAAGAGACAGGGAGAGACAGAGAGAGATACAGGCAGGATAATGAGTCTCTCCACTTACCGGCAGACCTGTTGTATGTGGCCTCGGACGCCAGCACGGTGGCCTCGCCACTACAGGAGAGGAAGAGCCTCCCGCGCCGCTCCCGGTCCAGGTGAGGTTTTACCTGTGTGTAATAATAATAATAATAATAATAATAATAATAATAATAATAATAATAATAATAATAATAATAATAATAATAATAATAATAATAATAATAATAATAATAATAATAATAATAATAATAATAATAATAATAATAATAATTATAATTATAATTATAATTATAATTATAATTATAATAATAATAATAATAGTAATAATAATAATAATAATAATAATAATAATAATAATAATAATAAAAATAAAAATAATAATAATAATAATAATAATAATAATAATAATAATAATAATAATAATAATAATAATAATAATAATAATAATAATAATAATAATGATAATATTTAATGGTTTAACGAAAGAACATGGCAGCCCCGTTTACACCCAACCCCTATTGCTCATATAAGCATCCAACCTATGTTTGAAGCTATTCAGCGTATTCGAGTTAATGATGATATTTGGTAACTTGTTCCATTCATCCACTACTCTGTTTCCAAACCAGTGTTTACCTATTTCACGCCGAAATCTAAATTTGTCTAATTTAAAACCATTGTTACGAGTTCACTCCTGGTTGGATAGTTTGAGTACCTTTGTAATGTCCCCTTTGTTTAGTACAGTTAGTTACATAACTGGGGAATGGGTCACTTGATGATAAACAATATACAAGTAGCAGAAGTGGTACAAATATGATATATAATAACAAGGTGGGGGAAGGTCATACTACAGGGAAATTCAGCATAGTGTGACTCACCAGATACTACACTTACTTAGCCACCACACTTATAGTACCAGGACCACTGGCACAAGTACCATGAGCACTAACACGAGTACCAGGAACACTGATACAGGTACTGTACCAGGAACATTACCCAGGTTGTTCCTCACAGGTCCAGCGGGAGTGGCAACTACACGGCGCTAGGCGCGGCCAACAAAGGAGTGATCAGCTCCTCCAAGGGCGGCCTGGGCGGCGTGGGCATGATGACGACGGGCGGTATGGGTCGCTCCCACGCCCACGGGCAGTCCACGCCCGCACAGAGTTGCGATGCCCTGGAGATGAGTGAGACGGAGGTGGACCGGGACAACAGAAGGCGAGGTAACAACGGCAGGCGTAGGAATACCAGTTTCTCTATCGCAGTCTAGCCACCTGAGGGGAGCACCACCTGGCTCACTACCACCCGGGTCATCATCACCTCCACCTTTGCCAACGTTATCTCTGATGTCACCCGGACACATTGTCGCCTGAGCTGGAGTTTATCTTCGCCAGCGTCACCAAAGTCCAGGATCATCAGGGCAGGTGCTACTTGGTTCATTTATCACCTGAGATAGTGTCACCTGGCTCAACGCCACCTAAACCCGTTCCCACCTCCTACTCAAGTAATCACCAGAGTCACGACTACCTGGGTCAGCACCACCTGGGTTAGCACCACCAGGGTCAGCACCATCTGGACCAGCACCATCTGGGTCAGCACCATCTAGGTCAGCACCATCTGGGTCAGCACCAGGGTCAGCACCACCTGGGTTAGCACCACCAGGGTCAGCACCATCTGGACCAGCACCATCTGGGTCAGCACCATCTAGGTCAGCACCATCTGGGTCAGCACCATCTAGGTCAGCACCATCTGGGTCAGCACCACCTGGGTCAGCACCATCTGGGTCAGCACCACCTGGGTCAGCACCACCTGGGTCAGCACTACCTGGCCAGGCACCACCTGGGTCAGCACCACTGGGCTGCACCATCTGGGTCAGCACCACCTGGGTCAGCACCAAAGGGTCAGGAATTTCACCTTCCAATCCTCCTTCCCACCAGTCTCTCTCAACACACTTCGCCCTAACCCCTGACCTGACCTCTCCCTTGGCCTGATCTCTCCCTTGGCCTGACCTGTCCCCTGGCCTGACCTCTCCCCTGACCTCTCCCCTGGCCTGACCTCTCCCCTGATCTGACCTCTCCCCTGGCCTGACCTCTCTCCTGACCTGACCTTTACCTTGGCCTGACCTCTCCCCTGGCATGACCTCTCCCTTGACCTGACCTCTCCCCTGCTCCAAACTAATAACTGCCTCCTGTTCCTGGAAACTTCTGACCTACTTGATAACCTTTGATCCCAGACCCCGATGACCTCCTCCTGTTCGTAGTACATGACCCTATCATAACCTCTCCTCTAAACCTCTGACCTCCAGGACCAAGTGTTTGACCTCCAGACAACAACAACACCAGTGGCGGTGTGTGACCAAACTGGGCGTGTCTTAAAGGTCAACGGTCGTCAGGGATTGGTCAAGCTTAACCAATCCAACGAAGGAAATGTTTGACAGTGCCAGAACCGCAAGAGGAGGATACAACTGCCGTAGTTGAGATGTGTAGTTGTCGTGGTTGTTGAAATGTTGTGTAGCAGCTGTGACCAAGGATAATGGTGTGTGTGTGTGTGTGTGTGTAATAAAAGCAACAATAACACCTCTACCATGACTACCGCGAAGTAACAAACAGTTGTGTTATATTATCATTATCAACCAGGTCATGTACAAATTAAGGCGAAGTGATTTTCCTTAGTATTTCTACGTTCGTTTAAGAGAAAAAAATAAATACATAGCATTAAGGAAAATTCTACCTGATGAAACGTTTGTGTAAATAAAAAATAAATATGTAAAAAAAAATGTTTACTTACGAGACCTCACAATAAAAGACTACATATTAACTTACATATGAATTTATATGGATGATAAAGACTGTTAGATAAGATTTTGTAAATTGATTGAAAATATGGGGACAAATATACCCACGGTACATATAACCATAATAAAATGGTGCCTGATTATATGCTTAGAAGGAACCTGCTATAGTGTGTTATGTTTGTGTGCAGTGACTTACAGTGCAATGTACCCTACGTACAGTGACACAGCCGAGGATATTGAAGAAAATGTGTCTCATCAATAGTGAAATATATCTGATCTAATTCTGAAAAAAAAACGTTCTATTCGAAGTGAATTATCAGCCACATACATGAAAATATGTCCTGTCTACATGGCCCTACCTTCTGTCGACATGGCCACTCTGTATACATGGCCACTCTTCTGTCTACAATGTACATGGTCGTATATTTGGTCTACAGTGGAAAGTGTCAGAAAACTTACCCAAAAAATATATATCACAAAGGGAGTGCAATATGTCCTTCTTACAATGAAATACAGGAGTGCATTACGCCCAGTCTGTAATGAAATACGTCATACATATTAAGGAAAAAACTGGACTAAAAGACGTATTTACTGTTTTCGTTGTCGTGTGAGAGAGAGCAGGAAGGAGAAATTCACAACAGGACAAATTTAAGTAAAAATGTCAATGAGTAGAACTGAGAAACATGGTGAATATTTTTTGCTATCACTTAATAGAACTCAAAAGACATGGTGAAGGAGGGGGCTGGGCGTAGCTCGGTGATGATCGCCAGAAAACTGCAAGACCTCCGACAGTCGGACCGATATTAAAATCGTTCCTTTTGTGTGTGTGGATGATATAGAAATGATATACGAAAACATTAATTGTTAATAAACGCATGTGAAAATATCTTGTTTTATCTACGCGGTGTTACAATGTATTTGTTTCTACTGTCATAATAATGGACGGCGATAATAAACAAACTCCTCGTGAGACTTCCGCTTGTATGTAACAAAAACAATAATACTGTATTGTATTTCTACACAAATGTACATATTTGTATGAATGTAAATTGTATAATATATATATATATATATATATATATATATATATATATATATATATATATATATATAATATATATATATATATATATATATATATATATATATATATATATACTGTCCGTTCGCTGACTCGTACATACATATTTAAAGTTTTACTTAATAAAATATTCAAAGAAAAAGCTTGGAGACTATATGGTGGTGCAGTTATTTATGTGATTAATAAATTGATGAACACCTGAACATTAAATAAGTTTCATATTGGTACAGTAAGAACAGTGGAGGAAGGATATGAACGATAACAACCAGAACAATATAAATATGAACTGCATATAACCTTAGACCAGGAACCATATAACGCTACTGAAAAGTATACATATTATATATAAAGTCACGTAAGCATGTTTTTATTAAAGCCTAAAAATATTGTGTGTAAATAAATACGTTTGTATGTAACATTATCTTTTGGCGTGGTTGGGTGAGTCATACAAACACCAAGAGATATAATATAAATAAATAAATATATATATAAATACAAATATATGATTTATAAGGTCTTTCATGTGGTGAAAATACTCTTGTATGTGTGTGTATATCTTAGTGAGTATGTATGTATGTATGTGTGTATGTTGAGGGAGTATACCATCTCCAGGCCAAAGTGTATATTGGTGTGTGTGTATATATACCTGTGTGTTTGTGTAATTATTCCTCCTAATATTCACTTTATAAGTCAATAACATGTGTTTTCTTTCACGTTTCATCAGTACGACCGTCTACCTGCCATACCCCCATTCATAAAATAAAGTGTCAAGAAATAATACAGTCTCTTACTGCCTCATTCCTTCCATAAGTGTACATTATAATGATTATTTTTCTACAGTGTCTTATGTGTTCTCTGTGTGTAGTGTAAATAGCTGTGCAGAGGTGTAGTTAGAGAAACACAGACACACGCAGACAAGCAGAGAAACAGGCAGACAAGTATCCAAGTCTTTAATTCCAAGTCCATCTACATACCACAGTTTCACACACCAAGTCCATCAAGTCCACTTAATACACACACACACACACACACACACACACACACACACACACACACACACACGTGGAGGAAAATCACATATAATAATACACATTTGTTGTCATTCCCAGACCCAACAGATCTCTACATAGCACTCGGCAAATGTAGAGAAATACAAAATACAAGGAATTAATAATACAACCCACAGAACATAGCATTAATACAGGAATAAGAAGAATACATAAAATTCATAATCCATTACACAGTATACATGTTTTTTTTATCGTACTATGTTCCTCTAATACATTATACAATACACACATTGTATTATAAATCATCGACCCTTGCAATACAACATACAGTACACCAAATCCAACTCGCTCGTTCCCTTTACAGAAGCGAATAATCATTATTTATACACAAACTCACGCACAATTTCCCCTAATTGGCAAAAATCGCATTAAATTACTAGTAACTACACAGATGTCATATGTAATGATATGCCAGAATGACATTTCATTACCCAAATGGTTTATATAATTGACAATCTGTTGTAGGGATCATAGCAGTAGATTAGTAACACACTTATGTTTAACCCCAACCACACACTCTAGGCTGGAGGCAATGGTCTGATAATTACCTTCTTTTGATTTTGTGTGTGTGTGTGTGTGTGTGTGTGTGTGTGTGTGTGTGTGTTTGTATTGGTATGTATGTATGTAGCGGATGATAGCTATGTGCAAGGTCCCAACGACTAGGGTGAGTAACATGGCAGACCAACACGCTTATATAATCAAACCATCCGACCGAGAATGTCCAGACAGACAAAACACTGACAGTTGCAGACATTCAACACTGATTTGGATATTCAACATCTACCGGCCAGCCATACGGAGGTGATGCATGGACCGTCCTACAGTGTATGTTCATAAGCACAGAGAGTGTGGGCACACCAGACAGCACGTGACATCTATGCCTTGATGCTGCTGGTAGGATATTTCCACAAAATAATCGGCAAAAAGATGGAGTGAAAAAGACAGACACAATCAGACGTCACAAATGTATTCCAGTGTAAATTGTTAGGGACATCTCTGCCCACACAGCCAGAGGAGTTCAACACAGACAATCGCGTCCTCAGAGACTCAGGAAGGGAGAACTGGCACGGAAAATAATGGAGGCGAAGAAGTATTCGTCTAAGTTATAAAGTGAACCGGAAGCAAGCAGCTGTTAGGAAGACCGCGTTAAACCACAGCTTCTCATAGATGATGTAAGAGGATGTGACCATCACCGAGCACATCACCGCGACAAGGTATGGCAGCAGTTACACCCTGTCTTACCCTCACCTTCAACCAAGAACTGGAAAATAGAAGATACACACAGGTGTCACCAAAGCTTGTATAACTTGCTTCAATTCCCGAGTCGTGCAAGAATAATGCCTCACGTGGGAGCACAAAGGGAGGTGCGTCTAACAGTTGTACTGCTGGAAGGGGAAGCTGACACGCCCTGGAGCCTGCCAAGTGGAAGGTCTTGAAGGAAGAAATTGGAGTAAAAATCCCACCTGTTAATATTACTGTACGTGGGAGACGTGTTATACTGGTGATTAGACGTAAGATAACACGCACACACACACACACACACAACGACCAGTAGAATATATTATTTGTGGCTAAGAACCAGGTAAGAAATAATAGAGAACACCAAAAATAAGGTAAAAGAACTGGCGAAACGAGAGTCAGTCGGTTGAAGTTTCGTCTCCATCACGTACTATACTCCTA